CGTGTGTACTAGGCGGAAAAAAGGACGTGATGTATTTTATGTATTTTTCATAATATGTATGAAAAATACATAAAATACATCACGTCCTTTTTTTCTGCCTAGTACACACGTCTATTAGACATGTTATAGACGTCTAATAGACATGTCTAATAGACATGTATATTAGACGTTTCAAAGATGACATTTCGACGTCTATCTAGATGAGTCTATAGACATACTTTAGACGGTCGAATAGACGTCTATCCGATCTCGCGTTTCTCCCTGGGTCGCTCCTTATTTGGTAATGTTCGCAAGCTGATACAGTAGATTTCTATTTATAGACATAATTAGTGTGGCGTGATTTTCTAGGTCAGCTGTGGTAAATCATGGTTTCGCATGTAGCTAACTTATTCTACTATCGCCGCTTCATATGAGAATGATATTTATATGAAAATTGAAAAGAATATAATTATCGTCATTGTGGTTAATAATTTAGTGTTTTACAGAAATTAGAGGTGCTTTACATCTGAGTGGCTGCTGCCTGATCCGTTGTACATAATGATTGATAAAGAGTAGCACGTCTAATTGTCGAATAAATATCTTTCTCGTTGCTTACAATATTATAGCGTATCACGGTGGATCGATATTACACAGTAGTGATGGTATTTCGATTTATTTTAGGTTCAGAAAGGAAAAGAATATTATAACATATCATATGTCTTGGGATTTGTGTAATTATCGTATTGAATTCGTCGCAGGGTTGAAAGCGGTAGGTTTATAGTTGAGTAAGAATGAGAATAAGAATCTAAGTTTAAATGTTTCATTGTGTTTGTGAATTTGATAGAGATTGATTAAGGTTTCGTAAAAATGGTATCTTACGGGAATGCAACATGGGTCGTTGGGGGATTAAAGATTTCAGAGTATTAAGACATGTGGGTTAGGCTTAAGGTATGCAAATGGTGGTTTATAAACTGTTCGTAAGAAAAATCTGTTAAATAGGGAGTTAGAAGATGGTCAGGAAATGGAGGATTGATTTCTAGGATCTTGATTGGTTGATATTTTTTTAGGTGGTCGCGACAGTAAGAGAAATACTGAGTTGTGATTGGTGAAAATGTTCACATTCCGTTAGGTCTAGAGGAGTTGCGAAGATTGGTCAGGTTTGTATGCGTAATGGCCAATGAGGTTGCAGCTTGAAAATGCGGCTATGCGTGAGCATATGCTAATGAGTTCAAGTACGCGCCAAGAAAAAGATGGTTTTAAATACGCATTTAAGTAAAGGTTAAAGGTCGCGTAGTGTTTATGGTGTTACAGTGAATTTTATATGTATTAATAAAAAAAAATTTGTAACGGTATTTGTCGCGGGACGTGACACTAGTTATTGCTCTTACCCCTTTTATATCTAACAATATTGTTTTATTGGATTGAGCTTCATATTTAATATTAAATCTTTTATTTATATGTATGGGATACCACAATATGTTGTTATCACTTTTTTTCTTACAGAAAGAAGATAATTCCGAGGGAATTCGAAAATTATCAGACAAAAGAATTCGGCATATTCAACATAATTCCAAGGAAAAACACAAAAATGTCATGCCTATTTCAGTAAGCATTTAATTTTTTTATAAAAAATTATCCACAATTTCAAAATAGTTTAAAAGTAAAAAAAAAATTTTTTTGAACTTAAATATTTTTGAAATAAATTCAAATTTTTCTAAAAAAAAAAAACAATCTAATTCAACAAAAATTTCCGAATATCGCGCTGGATGGCCCTAAATATTTTTTTCAAATAGATAATATGAAACTACATGCACATACGAGAGATGTTTAAGTCAGTGACTTTGATAAGAAATACTTTTTTACTCGCTTTTTTTTAGCTTTCTTTCAGTTTCCTTAATTTTTCCTTGTAAAAAGTATAGTGCTTTATCAATACAAGAAATTTACTTTTTTCTATTGTAACAAAAATTATCATTTGAGAAAATGTACATTTATTGTCGCTTCCATAGAAATTCATGTAACTAATTTCCATAAATACGATACATATTGTTTAACAATCGTAAAAACCGCATACATCATTCATTGAGTACGTTGTTTCCTTTTCATAGAAAAGTGAGGATTCTCGTAAAATATCTAATGTTAACATTAGTCACAACGTTATTAAAAAGTCAAAGACCATTACTTTAGCCGTAAGTCACTTTGGCCATATACCTTGCTACTTAAAAATAAGATCATAAAACGTTAAAATTAAAAATTGTTTGTAATGTATAAAGTATACAATTAATATACAAATCATTATTTCCATATAGGAAACAAATTCATATTTTTATTGTATACTTTTATGTATTTACAGCACCAGGATACATACGTTGGGATCATGTCAGAACGAAATACCGATTGCGTAAAGGAGAATAAATATCTAAAATCACAGTTAATTGCAAAAGACAAAAAAATTGCCGATCAATCACAAATTATCGAAGAATTGACAACTTTGAACATGAGCTTACAAAGATCAGTCATTTCATATTTTGGTGAATTCAGAAGTAAGTGTAAATAGCAGACCTGTAAATGTTTCTTATTTGCCAAGTAAAAAAACAATAATTCTATGTAGATTCTACATGTGTACTTTTAAAATACTTTACATAATTAAATTCTGAAATAGTAAAAGCTATATTGGGAAAATTCCGCACCTAATGCTTTGCCAATTTATTTACAGCATGTAGTGAAAAGTTAGATGAGATGAGAAGTCTGGAAGGAGTACAGACGCTGCCTGTCGGCTTTATTAGGAAAACAGACAACACTGTACGTTTAAAATATACTATATAATATATATGTACAATACTATATACATATGTATATACAAAATATATATGTATTGGGTTGGCAAGAAAGTAATCGCGTTTTTTTAGCTCAAAGTTGTATATACAATATCTTTATCAATAATGAATGAAATTTAAATTTAAAAAAAGGGTTTTAAAGTTTGAAATCTCTACTTTTAAAAGCTTACCACATTTTTTAAGTTTATATGAGTTTGGTAATATTTATTGGACATACTGAAAACTACGAGCTGAAAAAGACGGAAAATTTTCTTCTCACTTTGTGGGTTTATAACGTGGTCAAAACAAATATGAGAAAATTTTCGACTACCTATCGTGAAAGCTTGATGCTTTCCCTCGTCGTTTTTTAAAAATATTCCTACGATTTTTGGTTACTGAGTTATCGCGGATTAAATAAAAGGATCATTTTGATTTTAATTGCTCATGACTGTTAAAAATTATCGTATCGCAATTTAAAAAAGAGATTCTTAAAGCTGAAACTTTACTTTATCAAGATATGTTTATATTGAGTTAGTAATTGGGTTGGAAAGTAATTGCGGTTTTTACTGATAGATGCCTTTTTAAAAAACGCAATTATTTTCTTGCCAACCCAATACAATAATGTTCTCTTAAAAAGTTATTGTACATAGATAAAGGTGAGGTAAGCGGATCACGGTAAAATGATCTATTTACTGAATCTTAGTAACTATTTCCATCTACTTAATGAACATAAAATTAGCTTTCTTTTTGATGTTTTTTAACTGTTAAAAAATTACGTCATCGTCCCATAAGACTGTCATGAATTATTTATACAAATAAATGTGAAATTCTTCCAAATAGATCTCGTAAGTTAATTTCTTAAGTATTACATTTTGAGTGGCTACGATTACAAAGTTGAATATTTTTAAATTTAATTAAAAATTCCATATTTGTGGTTATTTGAAAGCAATATTTTATCAGTTACATTTAAAAAATAATTCTTTACATAGATAAATAAAAATATTAATGCTATCATATGGAGTAAAAAGGACCAATTTAAATGGAATAAAATGGACACTCGTAATTTTATTTTCAACTTTTCAAAAATGCGCCCAATACGATGATAGTCATACATCTATAGTTTATAAAAACCTGATTTTTTAATTTTGAACCAATGTACGAGGCTAACAAAAGGCAGAGCTTACTTTTTTTATATCCAGGCTAAACATCAATATTTTAAATAATTTTTTTGAGTATTAAAAAAAACTTGATCTGTACGCACGACAGAGCTATTTTAGAATAGCTCTGTTAGTTTTTAAAATAAAAAAAGTTAAAATTTACTCTGTTTTTAGAGGGTCTGTAGTACAATGTTATCTTTTCTCCAATCTTTACTGGAAAAATTGATTTTCCTAGGCTCTTTTGGTTTTCATCGCCAATTTCATCGAAATAATTTATTGTTACATGTACGACTGCTGTTCATTTTTTTTATTAATAAAGTAATATTCATAACATTATAGATACACTTGGGAAGAGACGTGTAGCTCCCAAAACCTACGTACGATTCTGCTATCTATAATACACGATCTCGTCAAATGATAGTAAAAAATCTGGCAATCGCAGTTTTCGGGATAAAAGTGCTACAAAAATCTAGTATTACAGGAACGAAATGTAACAAATTAAAAAATCTAAAACCCAAACCAAAATTGAACGAGAGGAAGGTTCTCGCTATTGGAGATATAAATATAGAAAAAAGTATAATTTTGAAATTTTTATTCTTATATGTTTCATTTAAAATATTAACTCCGTATAAGAATTCAAAGATATGTATGCTTACATAAATAATAGAGCAACGCTACTTCAAAGTATGTACATATATCAGTACACCATTTTCGACATATGAACTTCATACTTGGCCAATTTACAACATATTTAAGACATATTTCGATACTGGATGATCAATATTGCGAAGATTTCCGAAGTTAATGCGCAAATAGAGTGCAGCAAGGTATCTCTTTATATATCTAAAAAAGTTAGTGACTTGAATAGGAAGGATATAAGCAGCAAAAAGGGTATTTGCATCTAAACCATACAATAATTAAAAATATTTCTAATATTCAATATACACTATTCAACTAAATTAAAGGATCACTTGTTCTATCCTGCAAAAATAGGCAAATAGAATAACTTTGTTAAAAATCATCGTATCAAGATTTTTAAAAAAGCATTTTAAGCTTGAAATCTCTATTTTTCAGACCTGTACTTAAAAAAACCGTATTACTGATATTTCATAAAGTTACACAAACATAAATGAAGATACATCAGATCTCAAAATTTTTTACGAAATTTGCGAAGTTCCACAGAGCCAAGTAAAAATTGTGCACAAATGCGGTTTACAGCTTTCGAAGGAATGAATCTTTATCTTCAATTTGTATTTTTATCAACTTTTGTACGATTTTTTTTCACCAAGTTATTCAACGTTGAAGTAAAAATGACCTTTTTACTTCAACGTTGAATAACTAGGTGAAAAAAAATCGTACAAAAGTCGATAAAAATACAAATTGAAGATAAAGATTCATTCCTTCGAAAGCTGTAAACCGCATTTGTGCACAATTTTTACTTGGCTCTGTGGAACTTCGCAAATTTCGTAAAAAATTTTGAGATCTGATGTATCTTCATTTATGTTTGTGTAATTTTATGAAATATCAGTAATACGGTTTTTTAAGTACGGGTCTGAAAAGTAGAGATTTCAAGTTTTAAAATATTTTTTTTTTAATCTCGATACGATGATTTTTGAGTTATTTTATCTTGAAATTTGCCTATTTTTGCAGAGTGGAACAAGTGATCCTTTAATTTTGTTGAGTAGTGTATTTTAATGATATAAAACAATTGAGCTCTTGAAATAAAAAACAATAATTTTGTTGATTAACAGACAATTGAGAGCAAAAAACAGACGCAGTAATTAGTGCGTAATAATTACAAGTTGTATTTCCATTTTTACATCTAATCAACTAAAATTCGAATGTTTTGGGTTCATTCAAGCCATCTTCAGCGATGTCATATATACATTAATTAGACCAGAATGTCAAAATAAAATTAGTCTAATAGTGCAGTCGGAAGAGTCTCCCCAAGTTTCCATGCTTGGAGAATGCAACCGTCATTTAGTTGTTAGGCTAAGTGAAACAACTGCAAACTATGACTGCATATTACAAGTACGAAATCTTAAAATCTATTATCAAGTTGACGATTGCACTCTCTAAGCATGGAAATTTAGGGATCGAGATTTCCGACTGCACTCTTAGACTAATTTGATTTTGATATTCTGGACTAATTATAATGTATGAATGACATCGCTGAAGATAGCTCGAATGAAGTCGGAACGTCCGAATTTTAGTTGATTAGATATAAAAGTGGAAATACATAACACACACACACTTGTTGAATTATTACACTAATTACTGCGTCCGTTTTTTGCTCTCAATTGCCTGTTAACCAACGAAATTGTTGTTAAATATATTTCTTGTGTCATTTGTAACATTTAACAATAAATTTTTTAACAAAATTACAATTACTTTTAGAAATCAATGTATCAAACCGTTTGCAATTCTTACAACAGATGTTGCTTATAAAACCTAAATAATTGATTAACCTTGTTTTCCGAAGAAGCAGCCGAGAAGCAAGATGCAGATGCTGGCAGCAAGGCTGCTGAAGCTGAAGAATCTGCAGAATATGCAGAATTTCCAGAAGCTGCAGAATTTGTACAATATGCAGAAGCTGTGCATATGGAAGGTAATATTACAGTATTCATAGAAAATCTACTATGACTGCATTCAGAAATGCTCTTAGCACTATTAGTTTCATTTCATCTTCTCTGGGTTTTTCGAAAAATACCTTGATACATCAGCTTTCCATTTTCAACGTAATTAAACACATGTAATGAAACTTTATTATTAATTGCTATCTCAAAAATCACATTTTTATCAAGGGATTGTTGGACGGTACTCGGAAAACTTATAAGGTAATATAAGCGAGGGTTAAAATAAAGGGGTAAATAATTCAATTGTTGTACATTATTATGATGCATAGTTACATGAATATTATAATAATTACAGTTTCCTTTTCGAATTACATTTATAAAAATATATTTGAAATACACGAAAAAATTCTAATATTGTTGATATATTGTAATGCGATGTAATTGTAACTTCAATTTTTCCTTAATCATAATAGTTATTACACACATGAATGTATATATGTATGTATGTATGTATGTATGTATGTATGTATATTCAGAATATACTTACTATTATATCAATGTTATTGTACATAGAACTCATTTGAATAACAATATACTTTGTATACACAGTCCTGATAGCAAAATGATAGCAGTTTGCGGGCAGATTGGCAGCAAACCCGATCATATTCCCACTACAAAACCATAGCCATCTGTCCGCATTTGACTATGGATATGTCGACAGAGTCTGTTCTGCACATACTTTGCCAACAGATTGATGGCAGAAAACGAACAAATTTCCACATACGATCACAAATCCTGCTCGGTTTCCGCAGCAAATCTGCTAGCAAAATATGTCATACAGGCTTTATGCCCTATTTCTAGTGGCAATTTACTGACCGTCAGATATTTCAAACTCTGTGTGCAATTTGTTGCCTTTTTACAGTCAAAAATTGGCAGCATGCTCTGCTGAAAAGTTATATTGACCTCGTGTAGACTTTAAGTTACAAATATCCGAATTCTGAAGTATAAATTGTCTTTTAGAAAACGCCGACAAAGGAAATAATCTTTCCGGTGAAGCCAACAGAACCGAAGAAAAAGGAGCGATACTGCAGACGTAACTGGTAAAGTATAACATTATGTAATATTTGGTAATTGTTAAACAATCATATTTTAAAAGAGGAAAATATAAAATGCTATTTTTTTCAAATATACGTGATAATCTCTTTAGTTTGACGACAATATTTCATTTAACAAATAGTTCGTTTTTTTCGATAAAGTGAACATAATAGCTATTTCGACATTTTTTTAAATGTAAAGCTTTATAGAATCATGTCACCTCCGATGTATTTATGCATGGGTTATTCCAAATCTGTCAAAATTCAACGTTTCTTATCTCGTATTTTTTAAATCGAACATTTCAAGAACATTTTGTGTAATTTACACGAAATAAGAACATTCGTATTGTTTTATTCTTCCGAAATATTTTTTATACAAAAGTTAAAAAAATTAATTTATTAAATAATAAAGTTGTTAAGATAAAAAATTAATATATCTGATAATTACATTTGTTGGAGATATTTTTAAAAGTCATTTTAAAGCAAAGTAGAGCACATGTATTATAAAAATTCTTTAAGAAAAAAAGGGCTAATTTTTTATGTTATAAGTTTATCGTATCTTCCTTAATTAATTTGTGTGTATTTTATATGAAAAATATTTTGATTCACACACATGTAAAAATATGAGGTTATATTTTATTTGGATTAACATAAAATTACTGACACGTATTCGAGCCCTTTGAGGTGTATTTTCAGTTGATACAATTAAAAATATTTTTACAAGTGTCACTTATGGCACTATATGTATTTATTATTATTTTATTAGCAATTACTATTTTATTAAGACACAAAAAGTATTAATCTTATTTTTAATTCTTATATAGGATACACATATAAAATAATAAAAATAAATGAAAAAAAGAATTATATTGAAAATGATTGTGATACTGTGTGACGTGACATTTTATCCGTCACTGTGCAGACTTGTCGGCGGAGGACTCGTGCTTCCTATCGGCTCAGAGGGCGAGCGCGCAGGCGAGTGCTAGGGATGCGACATCGAAAGCAAAACATCGATATTTCGTATCGATACACGTCGAAGAACCTGAATATCGATATTTCAAAAATCGAATCTTTTAGATCGATATTATCGATATCATCCGGGATATAGCAATTTATAGATACACAAAACTTTATAAGAACTTTTAACATACAATATATATACTAACAGAAAACCGCACATTGAAACAAAAGGAACATTTCTAAAGAGGTTCTAAAGTGGTCAGTGAATAAGGTACTAACCTACCTATGCCAAAAATTTTAAATTAAAAATGTGATTAGAATTATTTGTATGAAGCCCTAATTTTGAAAAATCGATTAAGTCACTTTAAATTTATATTTTTATTACAGATTATTACCTTATCGACGGATAACTTTAGAACCCTGTTAATACTATATTACGATACAAGTGGGTAAAAATTTTTTCTGCGAATGTGAGTGTTGCGGCCCGAGCCCAAAGCGATGGTTGCATTCACATTCGCAGAAAAAACTTTTTCTCGCGTGTGCCGTAACATATTTTATGTTGCAAGTGTGTGTAAAATGCGGAAGATAAAAAAAACGAAAATGTGTAAAACCGCATTTTGCTCACACTGTAACATAAAATTTTTTTTTTTCGAAAAAATGTTCATAAAAACTCCGAACTTCTAAGTCGCTTCAGCATTACAGATGTCAATTGTGAATAGGATGATCTTAGTGCAACCACTTTGGCATTCTACCTGGCAATCTGGCATTATTATAAAAGGTATTATTAAATAAATGCACGTAAATTGTTTGTTTTACAATAAGAAAGTTTTATTACTTTGCACTACCTTTATTTACATAATAAACTAGAACTTTGTTCTAAAAACGTTATTATTATTTTTATACTACTTACTGCACAGTCTTGCAACACAAATTAACAGAATACAAAAATTATTACAATAGATACTTCCTTACTTAAACATTTTGTACGAAATTTTGAACAAGAACATAGATTAATAATTTTGAATCGAGATTTTCTTTTTCAAATTTTTTTTAAGATTGATTATTATCTTATCATGTAAATATTAAAAATAATAAAAAAGATTTAAAATAGAACATTCTGTCTTTCATAAATGCCAATCTTTTTCTTCCAATGTTAAAAATAACAATTTGTCGAGGTGATCACCGGATAGCCTGTTTCGGTCATCAGACATTATGCGCCCTGCACGTGAAAAAACTCGCTCTGATGGTACAGAGGTCCCAATCATAGACAAATATTTTATTGCTACATGCTGTAGGTTGTTATTACTGCGAGCTAA